TGCTTCTCTCGAAGCTTGTCACAGATGTGAGTTTTGGTAGTAACGTGATTTAGCAGGATAAACGTCACATCATTTCCACGTCAATTAACGTCATCCTGCACCAATCTGCACCAATTACTTAATTTTAAGATTTTCTTATTCCTTCATATCCAAAAATATAGTCCTGTTCGTCTGCTATTCTCATTCTTAAAGTGAATTCCTTATAAAAATAAAAAAGAGAATTTACAACTGTAAATACAGCTAGTACACATACGACCGGTACAATGTAAATCCGTTCCGTTGAGTGCGGGGTGCAGGTATTGTAGACATATCATTTACTGTACTATTCTTTAAGTCAACTATGTTCGCTTTCCAGAATTGAACATGAGCTTCAATCGGCAGAGAGTAGCGCTGGCATGTACTTATTGCCGCCACCGGTAAGTTTTGTGCTAGTGAAGACGGACGCGCCAATTGCTGAGCTGCAGTAGGAAACGGCGATGTGACGCCACCAAACCGAGATGCAACAACTGCACCAGGTCAGGAGCGGACTGCCACTACGATGATGGCCCCTCGCAAAGGTACAGGCATTCTACGAACTGTCCTACACGTAGCGACTAACGATTGTCTGATAGAATCGATACTTCTGGAGGCACAAAAGAAATAATAAGTCGGTTGAAAGATATCAAGGACATGCTGGCCGAGCAACAGCAGCACTTAACAGCCTTATCATCCCCAAACCATTCACAGCCAGCATCTCACGTCCACTTATCGCAAGGAGCTGCATTAGATACAAACGGTGAATCAACAATAAGTGCTTCTGCGAATGAGACGCATGCTGCCGACGACGAACCTCTACAATTCTTCTCAAATTTGAGAGAGCCGTTGGACATAGCATCTGAACCGATGAATATCCCGGCCGAACATAAGACCTCTTCAAGTTACCTCCTAGGTCTCCCCGATGTGAAAATGCTAGTAGGCGAGTATCCAACGAATCTATTCTTCCTCCTAGAGAGCCAAAGTCCTCTGCCGCCGGAGCTGTCTCCAGAGCAGTCGCATAATCCGCTGCCTCCTTTCCAAATAGAACGATTGGTACTTGACCACCTGGTTGCCACCTTCTTCTCGTCGGTACACGTCAGCCATCCAGTACTCGACCAGGAAGAGTTTACAGAGATCTACGAAAGGTTCCTAGATAAGGGAGCAGACTCGAGCACAGAGTCAGCTTTATGTATGACAGTCTTTGCTCTTGGTGCTGTTTCCAGTCAACCGATAGGTTCATGGAATTCACAAACCTCTCCCAGTGGTACGGAATATATGAAATATGCTCTGCCAACGCTCATGCTCCGCTCATTATGGTTGTTTTCCTTCGATCTCACATTAGCTCAGGCACTTGTTTTGGCGAGTGTCTATTTTGCATATATTGTCCGCCCGCTTCATAGTTGGCGACTCATATACTTGGCTACCAACCTTTCACAACTCAAGCTATCGAGGTCAGTACATCGCACCATTAGATATTTAATCGCTAATAAGATTTTTAGCCTGGATTGCCAAAAGCAGACTCTCAATACAGAAGTCGACATACTGCGGCTATTTTGGTCTTGCTTTATTATTGAATGTGACAGACTCGCTGAGCTGGAGCTCCCTAGAAGCAGTCTTCAGCAATTGACAGATGATGCGAACCTGCCGCGATGTGGGAATCTGGACGATCTTCACATGACAGCCTACTTGGCCGAGATATCTATCCGACGACTTCTGAATCGCATTCACAACTCCCTATACCCAAGAACACCAAATTCTCTCACCAAATCTCTTTCTTCAACCTCACTTATGACACCAGAAGAGTTTTCTATCGACGAGCTCAATTCGATAACCTCTGTTTGTGAAGAACTGCACAGCCAACTCGACCTGTGGCACGCAGCTATCCCCGAGCAGTTCCGACCACCACTGAATTTTGAGGAGATAGACAATGACAGGATATGCATATTGAGAATCCGATACTATGCCGCGAAACATATTATATACCGCCCTTTTGTTCTCCATGTTACAACGCACACGAGCTCACACGTTTCGAGTGCTATCGTCGAGAAGGCAGGTATCTGCATCGAAAGTTGCAGTTTATATCTTTATCACACCTCCAAGATCCTTCGCGCTCCAAGTCAATACACATGGACTTTTGCACTGTCGTAAGTATCCTCCATCAGGCCGCAGTATCTTATGCTAAATCGCCGAGTCAGGTCGCTTGGGGCGGTGATCATACTGACATTGTCATGGCTCAATCCTGAGCTCCGGCACTTTGTTCCTGATGTAGAGAGCCTCCAAACTCTGGCTATTGATAACTTGAGTCAGTGGAATATTTCCAGTATCTCCGACGTTTTGGCGATTCTCAAGGAGATAAGGAGGAAGACACGTCTTCGAACAAGAGTTTAAAGATCTATGATCTTGGCATCGCCTGTTATCTGATCATGTGGATTCTATTTCACATACTATGGGAGGGATGAACGTGTAAGAATATCTTGATTGATCGATGAGAAGAGTCTGTTCAAATTTTATAGCTCGCCACCCGTGGGCTGCGCGATAATCTTCAACCCAATTTCAGATGTCCAGAACTTGCCATCAGGATAAGTATACTTTTCAAGCGCTTGGTTAGTGTAGCCTGTAGAGTAACCTGGTGATAATGGCGTGACGTAGTGAGTATTAACAATCTTGGAAGGATGTCGTAGGTTCTCGCGGTGGCTGTCAGCATTTTCCAGCATTGACTTGCGTCCACTGATGGCAACATAGTCAATCGTGCTGAGATGGGATGTGAGCTCTGTCAGGCCCATTGCACCATTATGTGGAACGCATGGGATATTGAACTTGAGGGCCATCAGCATGACCGCCTACAACAACCGTTAGCATGTGACGTGAATCAGCAGTAATTACACCTATAAGGACGTACAAGACATTCATTAACGCTACCGAGTCGAACAGCATCGATTTGTGCAACATCGGTTGCTTCAGCCTGCAGTAACTGCTTGAAAGTGACTCTGTTTTGTGCTGCTTCGCCTGTGGCAACGCCGACGCCGTACGGCTTCAGCGCCTTGCGAATCGCTGCGTGTCCCAGCACGTCGTCGGGGTTTGTTGGCTCTGCAAGGTAATCAGGAATGTATGTTTAGTTGGCTGAGGGAGGTTGAGGCATACCTTCAATAAAAACAGGCTTGAACTCCACCAAATGCTTCATATACTCAATAGCCTCGGGTACGCTCCATACCTATTCCGACGTTAGTGACAGCCATCATAAAGCGGAGCGACCACTTGCCTGATTCGCATCAATCATGATCTGGTAGTCATCACCGTAACCCAAAACGTCTCTCACAGCAGACAATCTCTCTCTATCGGCCTCGATGCTGGTTCCGACCTTGAACTTGAAGACCTTGTATCCCTGCGCCAATGTCTCATGCAAGACCTCCTTCATCCTATCGCCCGAGAACGCCATCCATCCCGCGGATGTTGTATAGGCTGGCACGGCAACATTATCGAATGCCTCCTTCAAGCGCTCCTCCTTGCCTTTGGCGGTCTTTTGAAGCATACCGATGGCCTCTTCTGGTGTGATGACGTCTGTGATATACCTGAAGTCGATACAGCGAACAATCTCCTCGGGACTCATCTCACACACGATCTGCCACACCGGAAGGCCTAATATCTTGCCCCAGAGGTCCCAGACAGCATTGAGAACGCCAGCAACGGCCAAATGCGTCACGCTCTTCTCAGGACCGATCCATCTGTATTGGGAGTCGGAGACCATATATCGCCAGGTCTTGCCCATGTTCCGAGTCAACTCATGCATTGTCTTTCCAACCACGCGTTTAGCGAAGATATTCAGAGCCATACAAATGAGCTCGCTTCCTCGACCGTTGCTGAAAGCCTGTCAGATCATTAGCAACAATTCTCAACGTGTTTGCCGCAACCGGACTGACAATGCCTTCACCGATTAGATCACAGTGATTGGTATGAAGTTGAATGTATGGATGCGACCCATTCGTGCCAACATGCATAGCGTCCGAGCCAACTCCATCCAGACTAGTGGGGAATCTGATATCGGTGACGGTGAAGCTGGTGATGGTGACATCGTCAACTTCTAATGGTGTCCTTGAGGATGGCATTGTAGTGGCGTAGACAGAAGAAGATACAGGTTCTGGTGTTTCAAGGTTGGAACCTATGGTATGATTTGTACATCATCTTGTGATGACAAGTGGCCTTTTAAGGTAACTATAGCCTGTCCCATCAATGGCAATAGAGGGTGCGGAAGTCAGACCCGCGAGTTAGAGGATTGCGGGGTTCAGTGCAAAGCGGCGGGCTTATCTGCCGACTATCCCCGCTAACTGTAACTGCATACTGATCGGCTAGGGGATGAAAAAAAACCCAGGACCTCGATCCTAAGTGGTAAAGCATTTAGGTAACTTAGTATAAGATTAGGACATCCTTTTACAAGTTTAAATTTAATACATTATATTTTTGCTTGATATTTTCTCCCTACTAAGGTACGGCTATTTATTTGCTCTCCGCGCAGAATCCAGGAGCTAACCCGTCCCCGTAAAGTGCATCGTGGCGCAGCAGATGTCTTCCGTCAGCGGCTGCTGTGGTCTTATGGGCCAGGGGCCTCAATATAAACTGGGTCATCCGCCTCTCTCATCCTTTCAGTCTTTGCTTCCCCGCATTGCAATATCTGCGGGTTGTTTTACCCTGGCACGCTTAAGCAAATACCTCTCAATCACTCTTGCCCAAAATGCCCACTGTCCTCGACCCCACGGGCAGCGCTGAATTCGAAGAACTGCTGCAAAAATGCAAAGTTATTATCCTCAAAGCAGAGGCTACCTTATCTACACTCTACAACAAACGCGCCTCCTTCAAGAAGATACCTGATGAATAAAATTATGGGTCTGGGAGATACAACTTGGCGAAATGGACTACCAGGCACATCCTCGAACGAACTTCTTGATGTGTATTGGGCTTGTATATCTACAGTTAGAAACAAAGCCATCACATTAGGCCCAGTTGCCTGTACCACCTGCAACACCAGTGGCCCACCCGACATTTCCTGACTGGTAGGTAGCAAACAGGTTACCATCCCTGCGGAAGTACAGGGCGTAGTATGGCTAGAGAATATTTGGATCAGTACTTTGTTTTCTTGAAGTTCGTGAAACCCAGAATGAAAGGGAATTATATAGATAAACAAAGAGAAGAAAACTTACCCCAAATCCCGTGAAAACAACATCACAACCACCACTGAGGTCACTTGCATTATCATAGAACAATGTGCCGCTATAGTAACGCATTTATTAGCAAAAAGTATCATCTGATATCGTCATATGGATGCATATTAGCTTACAAGGTTGCGCCGCCAGGGAAGCCCGGAGTAACACCACCCATGTCGATGGTGCATGATTTACCAAGAGCGTTGATGTAGACACGCTGGTAAACCCAAAGGTTGATGACACTACCATTCGCTGAGGTCTGGTTACTGAACCCTGATGCCTTTACATCAGGAGACGCAAGAGCAGCAGTCTTGATAGTAGTGTCTGCCTGAGTAGCGGTGGTGGCAGCCAACGAAGCCAAGTCTGACGGACCTTCGGGTTGGGCGATGATGTACTTGTAAAAGCTCTCGAGGTCTGAAGGTAGCGGACCGCCATTCTGAGAGGCTACGAGCTTCTCGAAGGTGTCGTAGCTCACAACGTCGGATTGGGCAACAGTAGCCATTGTGGTAATGTTTGGGTTGGATGCTTGTTGTTTAGAGAAGATTGTAAAAGCTGAATTGAGCTGTGATGATCGTTAAGAATGAGGAGGATCCGTGGAGTATTTATGCTTGAAGTCTCCCTGATGCTTTTCTCGCTGTAGGATGTTCACTTGACCAATCTACACTGATGCCGTGAAATCACCGTTACGTTTCAACTTGCGCTTATGCAGACAGCTTTCAGCCAGCCCCAAGCAACATCACTCAAACCTTTTGCGGACACGACTTCCCGCTGCATCTGGAATCGAAGCATTGCGATTTGGCTTCTTACGGCTTAAGGTATTATTTTGCATAAGCGATAACAGATATTGCTTCTAACCTCGTACTCTGTCTTAAATTTTAAACGATGATAGGATATATATACGGAGTAGAATTTACTAAGACGCTTTACAGCGCAATGGCCGATTAGGTGGCTGGCTGAAAAGTCCAAATGGGCCGATATTGGAAACACCTAGCTACTTTAGGCATCGGGTGTTTCTTTCCTTTTGCGGGCCGCGTACGCCACTAGGCTATGTTATCTTAGATCAGCGATGCCGTCGGCCGCCCATGCGGGGTGACTGTGACAGGATTACATTAGTGTGCTTGTATGCCGAATGTAAAAGAGCTGGATTAATCCTCATTCAGCAAGTTGCTTCTGAATCTGTCTTCCCAGCCAGCCTCATGCTCCTGAAAGCGGGTTCTCTATATATATGTAGCCAGTAATAAGTGTATCACCAACAGGGTGTAGCAACATAAAAGAGCTATAGGATATAGTTTTGTCTTAGGATTCCTCAAATAGCCGGACTCCGCTTTGATGCTTCTAATAACCAAGATGTATATGTATTAGCAGATGGGATTGGGACAAGGTTTCAGTCGTCACATAGCACATGGGTGAACTTGGTCAAACGGATTGGATGGCGACTACATATTGCTAATGCATAAGTTATGACATCTTGAATCCTGGCAAACAAATTACCGCTGGAGGCTATCTAGAGCTTAACAAGATCGACGTGGTCAGTGGCCTGATCTCAATATTGATTAACATCAATAGCTGTCAAGATCAAATACCTTGCCGGTTGTATTAACAGGAAACAATTGCAACATGCCTCTATAAGTCTATAGCGTGCGTCTTTCAGCGTAGCGCAAACCGTCTCCGTCCTATCCCGCTATAAAGAGAACGAAAAGGAGGAGATATTATTGACCATACTGAAAGGCATAGGTTGCACATAAGTAAGATTAAGTAACTATTTCTTGTAAGTGGCTGTAAGAGGTGAGCTAGCAATCTATATATAGCCATAGTGGGACATGAACGGCCTCTTGAGACAGGGCCAATAGTTCAAGGTAGGCTAAGACACATGATGAAGTCGGTGCTCCGAGTCACAATTATATACCTTAGCGATTCTGAGTGTCGATTTGTGGGCGGTGCAGGTAGTGTCTGATCTGTGATGTGTTGTTTTAAATGAGAGGCATTTCTGAGAGAGGAAAATGGAATAGAAAAAAAGGCACTAATTGCCACCAAGTTCATTGGGATCCAAATACCGGCGCTGTTTAAGATTGAGAATTGGCAAGATATTGATGTGTAAAGGCTTGTGATATTATAACTATATTAAAAGTGTTGTTTTATACTGGCACTTTTGCTTGATTATACAGTAATTATTATTTAGCTGGTTGACATCATATGCTGAGTTTTATCTCCCGATAAAAATACATTATAGATAGCACCTTGGTGCTTCCGAATCCTAATAGTACACAACCAGGCATTAATTGCGATGACTGGCAGTCTCATTATTGATTCGTTCAGCTACTCCCTCCGCACGCAATGTATGCATTGACTGAGACTGGTTCCCCAAGGAAGCGCGACATAGTCAGGGAGAGACCAGCGCTAGGGGCGGAAGCTCTAGTGGTGTTGCTGCTGGACGGTTCAGTACAGTGGTTTCATTCTTCACAGGAATATGCCAGACAAACCTTGTGACAGAAGAAGATGACCCCTGATTTGGTGATGTTGAAACAAATGACGATGGGGCTGGCATTATTAAATGAATCAGATAACAGTATTTGCAACAATTTTTGTCAGGTTAATCTGTTCCACATTGCAGAACGACTCCAAACACGACGACCTCCAATGATTTTATATGCCAGCCTGAAGCCTCATTTTGATGGATTGTACCTCGCGTACTCATTTACCAGCTACCTTAGTTCTCCGTGATGCGCAATGAATACTGCGACCTAGCTACTTCTATTTACTACACACTTTTGCTCCCTCTTTGGTTTCCTTTCTGCAGGAGTGAATATTTGCGGCCTGTTGTTCTGCGATCTCAAGTTATGCGCATGCGCAAAACTGTAGGCGAACCCCACCACGATTTTTCTCTAACCCCTGCTTAGCCTATGACAGATAGATGCCTGCCCCCAAATGCGAGTCGCCTGAACGAGCGCCTTGTAGGCTGCAGTTTGCGAACCATGGCTCAGAAAAAACGCCTAGCCGGCCGCTCAAGGCGACCCAGGGGGAAGTCACAAGCATTACCCAGGCATGGAGCCACTCTGCAACGGTCCTTTTTTCTCTTTGTACAACTCATCGCGAAACCTCGCATTTTTGATTCTTTAACGGTAATTAAGGCTTGTAGGTGTTACGCCATTGCCTTGGCTCTGTGGTAGCCCACTATTATACCCGCCCGCCATGTCCTCGCCTATATTTCCCGCTGCCGACGTGGCACCCAGGACCAGGCCTGAAAAAAGCCAGCAAACCACAGATGCAAAGCCCCGATCCTTGCGTGAGCGCCTCAAACACAAGGGAAAATATTATTTGAACAAAGCCCCGGGTTTGCTTCCCTCTTACGCCAAAGTACGGCCTTCCTCCCGGTTGATGTCTAATACCTTCAAAGAGAAGATGGCGGTTTTTTGCAAGGATGGAGATTCCTCGCCGACAACAGATACTGAGCTGAATATTCCGAGGGACAATACCTCTCCCAATTCGAATATACACAGCGTAGCACAAGTGGGGCCGACCGGGTTACAACAACATCCTGTAGATCAAACTGTCTCGTTTTCAGTAAAGGATGGGGAAGGTCCTGCACCCGAACCCGAGAGCCATCGCCGGTGGATCAAGGGCTACTCAGGAGTGAGAAGGAAAAGAGTTACCTCAGCGCCTATCCTGCCTCTACAGTCGGTTGAGCTTACGGGAGTGGGTAGCCAATACGACGTGGCGAACAGGCCGGCATCTACTTTGATCTTGGGCCCGTACAACACAGGTTTGAAAGGTAACTCCATGCTCAACTTCTACCCACCGAGTTCCTGCCTATATTAACAATGGTCTAGAAAAGGACGATGTTATACGCCGGCGCAGCCTGGTATGTAGCCTCTTTCTTGATACACTGATCCAAGTGCTGACATTTTGCCTCAGAGCCAACCAGTGACTTCAACCCGTGATACAGACATCCCTGAGTATGGTCAGAACTTTTCTTTTGCTAAATACAACCCATCCGAACTCGACCTTTTACGAAGGCTTTCTGAGGACACGTTCCAAGCCTCTACGTCTGCCCGAGACTCCACCTTTAGCTTTAGCTTTACGCGGCCTTCCTCTATAATTTCAGCTGCTAGCACATACGACTCGTCCATTGGCAGAACCAGTTCCACGCCTTCCCGCCGACGATCTCTTTTCAGAAAGACACTGTCATCTTCTTCTTCTCTCAATGTATACCGAGAATCGCTTCGTAACCATCGAGATCATGACAAGACTCCCGTGCCACCTATTCCATACCTCGATCCGCAAACCAAAGAGAGACTCTCGGCATCAGCAAATATTCCAGTATACCAACAACTTATCGCTGCCTCAGGGCCCGCCGAATCGATCGCTTCAATTGAATCAGGCAAGGACAGCTCGTTGACTGTGTCTGATCAGGTGGCTTTGGCTGGTTGGGTTGCGCAGCAGCGTCGGTTGAACAAAGGCTTACTACTCTCTTCACCATTCAATACACCAAAAGTCCAGTCGCCGCTTGCTGGTGCACAGCTTCAAGTTGAGGAGAATGCTGATGAAGAGTTAAGTACCATTGAAGAACGACTCTCAGACGCAGGACCTCCGAGTGAGTCGATGCGTAGACTGAGTATGGATGATCACGTCGATAGAGGACCCCTCTCTACCCCACGGAGTCATCCAACCAAAATTACGATACCATCTACAGGAACGAGAACCGAGACCACACTTGATGCTGGTTCTACTGCTCACTCTAGCAAGGATGATACTGAACATGGGTTGACTCCGGACACATGTGTGACTGAAACTGATACAAGCGAAACCGACGAGTCCATGTCTGATGTCTCACGGCAAACAGATGAATCTTTCGAAGATGCATTTCTCGCTTCATCTTTGGACCCAGCCTTCCTAGCCTCTGTCACCGCCCTGAAAGATACGGTCACCGTACTGGTTGCCCAACGGGTTCTTGACTGGGTGACAACTTGTTCGCCAGGACTCAATCAGAGTTCAGGGACTTCCGGCTCCACACAATCCACTGGTCAAAATGGGGCAGCGGCTGAAGGTCACGGTAATAGCAAGAAGAGGGGAATCAACGATAGAGAGAGTGAAGGTGATGATACCAATGCTGGCGGCAGAGGAAACGGAGACGATCATGAAAAACGTCGCAAGATAGAAAGCCCGCTATCGGGGCCAGTTCCAAATCTTGCCTGCCCGTTTGTTAAAGAATATCCTGGAGAGCGATGGCCTCGGTGCCAAAAAGGGTGGCCAAGCGTCCATCGGATAAAGTGCACAAGTCTGCCTGCCGAATTTAAGACACGATTTGCTGACTATAATAGGGAGCATATTTATAGATCTCACAAAGCACCGATTTATTGTAAGAGATGTTTTGGAATAGTCAAGACGGAGAAAGAACTTGATGCCGATCTCCGCCAGGACCCGGCTTGTGAAGTAGTCAGTCCATCTAGAGAAATGCCAGGTATCGATAACGAGACTAAAGAGCGTCTCAAATCAAGACGGGGCATTCAGAACTTTTCCGAAGAGGAAAAGTGGGAGCATATGTACAAGGTTCTATTTCCGAAAACCGAAGATATACCATCACCATGTAAGTTCTATCTGGGATACTTGCTTCAAATCGTTCCATTAACCTGTGCATAGATTTTGATCTGCAAATCCTCGAGATGCCCATAACTGAAGAAATGCGAGCTCAATATCGTAGCTTTCTCCGAAGGGAGGTTCCCGCCCGTGTTATACGAGACATAAACGCCAGTGTGCGAAATATGCCAGGATTTCAGTTTAGCTCTGAGGTATCTGAGCGCTCACTGTTTGAAACGGTGTCTTCAGCAGTGTGGAATGCGTTTGACGAAGTCTTACCGAGCCTGTTGCCCTCGACCGAGCAAGCCAGTGCAGCCCCAGTCACCGAGGTTCCGGCTGATTCTCAAGAGCAGACATTATCTGGTACCTCTTTAGCTCTGCAGGATGAGCCAGACCTTTTGAGTTCGCATCCTGAGCTTATGATCGAAACGGAGGCAGCGCAAGACTTTCGTATAAGTACAGAGGATACAATTGCTAACTTGGGCTCTTTCGATCCTGGGAACGTTGCAGTCAGAGATCTGGACTTTAATGGGCTTGGAGAATTTGGGGATGGTTTTGACCCTATTGCTTATAACCTAAACTATAACCTACTGCCATTTGAAGATATATAGAGGATATAGCACTAAATTAGACTAACGATTAATTATATTTAATGCTTACAGAGTCACATAGAGCGTCTTTTTAACATTAAATTAATAACTAAACTAATGGTGCTTCTTAAATTGAAATAGGTTACATCCTATTGGACTGTAATAGACTACTTACAACTATAGAGAATATAGTCCGAACTGGTCTGAACTGGTCTAACTTCGAAATACTGCAGTCATCACCACTGGAAGCTTTCCTCGAAATACTCAATACGCGGCAAAGATGGCACTGTCCTTGCTGCCACCACGAATCTGCTCTCATCAGCCATCTTGGCAGGTCCGCTTGTGACTACAGCGATGCCTCCTTCATAGTCATTTTCTAATGCTCTGTCAATAATGTCTTCGACATTCAATCGTTTAGATCTCCACTTCGCAAGCCTGTAGATTGTCTCGTCACCTGCTATTCTGCCATCAACATCGCCGGCAGTCAGGTAGATGTTAATCTCCACTCGATCGTTACCGAGAATATCGCTCAATTCATGATTCAGAACATCCACGGCGAAAGCTGGCTGTCGCACAGCCCAGTGAACCTCAATCCTTGACGTCTTGTTTGAGGATGCCGTAAGTCTCTGAATATACGACAACGGGACCGCTATTCCGCTCCCACCAACGATGAAAAGAACTTTTGAGAACTGTTCAAGAGGCAGAGTCTTTCCATACGGGCCGTCAATAGCCACACGTACCGTTGCCGGCTTCGGTCGTTCCTCTTCAGCATACCCCCTTAACCTCGAAGTAAAGCTATCGTACGGCCGGATCAAGAAGGACATTTCTCGGTGGTACTTTTCGGATGCAGGTCTCAGTTCACCAGAGGATCCATTGTTCAGTAAGGGTGAGTCTTCTTCCAAAGTATCTGCGGCGAAGTGGCCGGATCCCGATATTGTCGCTACGGTGAAAGGATGGCTTTCCCAAAAGTTCCATCGATTGAGTACCATGATATAGTAGAATGCACCTGGCTCAATGCTGTAGAGACTCGAAGAAGTTGAGACCGTCACGCGGATTATGTGTGCATCTTCGTTGTGGGTGATGAGAGCCTTGGTATCCCAGAATTTCGGATTGAAGGCCACAATTCGCAGTCCGCGAATGACCCGATCAAGAAGCCAGATGAATGCTGGAACCCACACAAGAGCGTCGTAGGCACCACTAAATATCGACACATGCCTGCTGTTCTGTTAGCCTGGGGTGTAGCAGAAGTTGTCGTTGTTGAGCGTACCCGAGCATGGTGACGAGGATCCAAAATGATAAAACAATATGGGTGATGAGAAAGAACTCGTAATTTTGGCGTCTCACCCAAAACACCGAAAGTCCAACCAGCAGACAGATGAATATTGTGGCCTACAGAGTGGTTAGTCAAAGGCAACTTTATGGGATTTGACTACTCACAAGTTCCCCAGTCCACCAAAAGGTAAATGTCCATATTTGACAGAAGTACTTCCACCCACCACCTACAAAAGTCAATAAATGTATCTACGAAGCTGGTCCATTAGCCTACGTTGCAGAATTATAATCGTGTATCCGATTGAATGTATCACGGCCTGTAAAGTGGCGATCCGGCCAACCCATCGGTGAAAGTTGTTGTACGTTTTGAAGTCCCAGCCTGTTAACCAGATAACGGTGTTGTTTCTCATTCCGAACAGCCATATCAAGGGAAAATTGGCAAAGGAGAGTATTCCAGTTCGATCTGATACGTGTCGCAGCACTTGCGTCCATATAGAGGGATAGCTGAGCATTAACATGTCAGCATGGCTTTCGAGCTCGAGCACTTGGGAAACTCACTAGCCATAACCTTCGAATATCTCGTATCCGTGTATAGTACATGCAATATTGAGGATCACGAAAAGAATGAGAGTCAATGTTTGTGTTCTCGGAGGCAAGGTACCCCAGCCTCCATAGTCCTGTACGCAGCGCCTGCCAAGTGTTGCAGGTAGAAGAATGTTACGCCTAACCCACGACCTCTTTCGACCCTGACTGGAGAAGGGTTGGCTCAAACCATGGTTTGCGATGCCCACTCCAACGACCAAAGCCCAGAATATCCCCATGGCCCAGCCGTAGAACTTGTGGTAGTCCCATATGTAATCGTGCGCTTCCTGTTGAAACCCATTTAACTAAAGACAACGTTCGCCTTGGGTTGGTATACTTACCAGCGTTCTAACCCAAAGATCGTAGTATGACTGTGATGGAAGCATTAAAGATCCATACACCTGCGATCGATCTGGGCTTGTAGCATTGAATCTTGGGATAGCTTTGATGTCGTGATCTGTCAAATTATTGATGATGTTGTGCGGCGGAAGATAAGAACCGCTAATATCGTGACATGTGAGGTTCATTGAGGCTGACTCTGCCCGCCAAACTTCCCCAGCACAGTGTGCTTCCCAGCAAAGGTGAAGCGAACTCTGATAAATGAGGCTGGTGCATTCCTGTACCGTGAAGAAGACACCCGGAGGGGCATCGGCAAATCGGAGAGTTCGGAATGTTTGTCGGCAAGCTTTTCCGCAATGATCCGGGGCAGCTAAAACCGCAGCATGATGGAGGATGCTGACTGTGAGGAGGCATAATGCGTTGCGACCCCAGTACCGCATCTTGGGCTTAGATGGAATGTTTGAAGGTTACAGAAATCATGATAGTCACATTGACCAAATCGTTATCAGATGATCAGATAATCAGCTCAGTGGGTCGGCATCACGGGTTTATGAGTTATTCCGATGGTCTTGGGCTAGATGCGCTAAGAACAGCTCATCAAGTCTTGGCATCAGATGAGAGCCTGGTGTCTTCTGGCTTTGGAAGCTATTTTATGAGCAATTATTACATGAAATTTTTTCTAATCCGTCAAATTAAGTCACATAAGAGTGAGTCAGCACTGAGGATGCATGCGAATGGTTTAACTTGACTCCAAACTCACGTAGTGTGAGGTGAGCTTTCGGGATTGTATTAAGGCAGTTATAGCTATTCAGAGTAATAATATGGTGGTAGGTACTTGTCGAAGACTAGCGAACGATAACGTCCGAATAGCAGTATCATCCAGAAGCCGGAGAGTTTCTGTCTGAACTATTACATCGGTCTGATATTCACAAGTTGACATTATCTACTTTCGGTACAGGGCAGCTAGCTTTTGCATGGGCGTTGCAGGCTCCTGCTGAGTCGCATTTGCGTCTCTTGATCCATGCTGGTCCGGGACATCGACAACCTCACCATCAAGACCCTTGTTGTTGACAGCATTCTGCTGCTTGCCAAGGTAGAAGTTGGGCATGAAGAGAGAGGCAATGAGGGGAATGCAGGACAGGCAGATGGAGGCGATGGTGATATGACCGTTGACGATGGCGTAGGCGCGGATAGAACCTTGACGGATGGGATCGAAGAAGTCATACTTCTTGAGGGTCTTGATGTTGCCGTAAATAGTAGCAATGGTAGTATCGTCAACATTGGGCATCTCGACGTGCATCTGAGCAACCATTTCTTCAGTCCAGATGCTTGTCGCAACAGCACTACCGATACTGGATCCGAGAGTAGACCACAGAGTGATGATGGAGATGAGAGAAGCAACATCATCGTGGGGAACAGAGGCCTGGACACCAACTCGGGCACCAACGACGTTGAGGGAAGAAAGGCAGAAGATGAGCTGAGCAGCGACGAGACGAGCAGTGTCTTGTGTCATCATTCCGTTGGGGCTGATGAGAAGACCATAACCGAGAATTCTGGCAGCAGCACCAAAGATCATGAGACCCTTGTAGCGATGGGAGACACGATGGATCAGTCCAACGACAGGGCCGACCAAGCAGAGACCCATGGTAGTGATACCAAGGAAGATGGTCCATTGGTATGTAGTCCACTCCTTGATGATGAGGATGTAGGACGAGAAGTAGGTGTTGCGAACAGAAGAGGCCATCTGGTTAAAGATGTGGATGATGACACCAGCGACAAAAGCACGGTTCTTGACGATGCGCTTGGTCATCATTGGCTTGGGAGCGAGATACATCTCGTATAGACCAAACAAGATGAGAGTAACAAAGCCAACGACGATCATGGCGATCATGCTTGGGTTGTTCCATCCGCCCTTTGCGCTCTTAGCCAGGGTGATGGGCAGAAGGATCAGAGAGAAAGCGAAGCCGAGCAGAATGAGACCAACAATGTCGATGTCAATTAGACCCCGGTACGCGAGCTTGGCCCAATAGGTCAGGTTCTTGGGCGTGGCCTCAGAGCGACCCAATCGAACGTCCTTGGAATCAGCCATGGTGACCATTCCAGCCTTCTCACCACGTCGCTGCATGGTGTAGAGGGTGAGGATGGCGGGGATGAGAAGGGCGGGAACGAGGATGGCGAACATGCCGAGACCCCATCGCCAGTCTTCATAGAAGCCATCAGCGATGAAGCCGTTGACAGGCACGGTGACGATGAAGGGTAGAGAAAGACATGCGCTGAAGAAGCCTCGCCATTCGAGAGGAGTCAAATCAGCGACGATGATGTCGCTGAGAAGATCAAGACCAGACTTGCCGACTGAGGTGAAGCAGATGCCAACAGTGTAGGCAGTGAAGCCCGAGGCGCTAGCGGCGACAGCAAAGCCGACAGCATAGAAAGCAAGCACCACGACGTAAGTGGTAGGTCGAGAAGTAATATCAGCAAGCTTTCCAATGAAGGGCTTGCTAATAGCACGAATGATCTGACCAGCCGTATTGACAGTACCGAGTTGGCTGTGAACACCAAAAGTCGAAGCCGCAAGCGTTCCAAAGATTGTAGTCGTGATACCCATGTCGAGGGCGTAGGCGAACATGGTGAGACCAATGGAGATACCAAGAAGCCAGAGAAGGATCTTGCCCTTCTTGCCAGACTGGTAGAGCACCTTGTTGAAGGCCTCGACCCTTCCTACGCCGATTTCCTTATGGGTATCATCGTCAGAGACGGGCGAGTTGGACGCGTCGTAGTCTTTTTTCTCGTTGAGCTCGAACATTTGCGACGTGTTGTGGGCGGCGGGGGACTGCTCAGTGCTGCCCTCGGGGTGCTTAGGCGCTGACATTTTGGAGGGAGGGACGAAAAATGAGCTGTAGATCGCTCTAAGACGGCCAGATCAACGTAGCATTAAAAGAAGGGAAAAGGGAAGCAAATAAAATGGGAAGAGGAAGAAGAAAGGGAAAAGTCTTCAATCTGCAGCGGTAGTGTCGTCTGGCCTGACTTTTTCACAACAGCTTCCAAAAGCTGTTTGGTCGCCCCCATTTCGCAGAGAGGAAAAGACAGAACCAACAGACAGTGTGCAAGGGACAGACAGATTACAGGACCCCTCGTTCGCCGGTCCTCGGCTCGCCTACAACGGACGACAGTAGTGCTGATACTCGGCGTGAGTGGGGTTTAGCCAAGGCGTGGGAGGACCAGAAACAGGTGAGTCTTTTTTGTTTGTCCGGCGACTTGAAGAAAAATTATCAGATCTTGTTCATATCCACTTGCGTTGGTTGGTAGCCAAGATTATCAACAGGCCGCCCATCTAATCAGATGGTCGCGTGCAGTAGGGATCGGCCGTTGTGTGGGACGGGCTGCAGATCTCTGCCCTGTCGAGCTACGAGCACAGTGTGTCACACACTTATACAAACAGTAGAATATCCCTGGCCCCTAGCACGTCTCTGATGCAGCTGTGATCATGCATCAAGATTCCAAGAAGAGGGAACGCGCCGATGCATCACATGTCTTGGTTGGTTCACGGGAGAGGCAAAGTTTTCTTGACAAATCAGGGGTCCTGTCAATCACAAGCAAAGGTCCTGAGAGTGTTAGCAGCGTGGCCAATTGCTTGCCCATCATGAAGATCTCTTGATCCGTTCCTTTCCGATGGGACGGGCTTGAACTCAATTAGAAGGCATCCCGTTCATGCTTCGGCTCGTGACACGTTGCCTAGAAGCTCCAATGCATTTAGTTTACCTAAACTGAGACCCTATACCTGGATCAATACCGACGACTTGGCTGCGGCAATAAGTCAGGGCTGCAAAAATAACTTTGACGCCGTTCATGTAACATTGGTACGCAACATTTCCACTGTCATTTGTCTTGGCGAGTGCCGATCGTTCACTTATCAATCAGATGCACGTAAGGGACTTGTCATCACATCAGACAATCTTATCAATCTACGATACACCGTTGTCGCAGTGGCAATCCCTGAGTAATTGTAACTCCCTGTCGCCTGACCGAAATCGCAAATGAAGCATTAAATTAAGTAAATTTAGGTACAAAGTCTATGGGCATGAACTGAAATATCTACTTGTGAGGACTATGACTAAATGGAAATCTTTGCTGCATCGCACAAAGATCTAAACACACTGCCTGGACTGGCATACAGCTCCGAGATAGTGTCAAACTCAACTACTCTGCCGCTGTCCATCACGACGACCTTGTCACACGTAGCAACAATTGTATCTAGTCGATGAGCCACGGTAAGGACGGTTGCGTTGCCAACGACTTCGTTCAGCATGGCTTGAAGCTTCGCGTCCGCTCTGCCATCAATAGAGGCCGTTGCCTCGTCCAGAATAACAATCTTGGACTTTCGAACGAGCGCTCTAGCTATGGAAATGAGAGATCTTTGACCTTGGGAGATGTTGGAACCGTTCTCCTTGACCTCCGAGTCTAGGTTTAGACTTGATCCCTCACTGCTGGACTCAGAATCATGCTTCTCGTTTTCTTCTGCTTCTCTATCTTGTTCTTTGACAGATTGGCCGAGCCCAACGCGGTCCAGGCATTGTTGTAGCCACTCGTCGTCGTATTGTTGGAAAGGGTCGAGGTTATAGCGGATGGTACCGGCTAGAAGAACGGCATCTTGGCTGATGACGGAGAGGCTTGATCGGAGGAGGTGAAGGCCGACGGTGTGAATATCGACTCCATCGATGAGGATTCGACCACTCGTAGGTTCAGTGATTCGCAATAACGCAGAGATTACTATATGAATGTTAGTATTTGACTACAATGGACTGCCCTTAGCACTTACGCGTTGTCTTGCCAGCACCTGTACGGCCGACAATGCCGACCTTTTCACCAGCTTTGATATCCAGGTTCACGTCCTTGAGTGCAGGCTCAAGTCCAGGACGATGACTGAGGGTAAAAGATTGGAACTGAACATGACCAGCATGTGGCCATTGACCGGTCTTCAGCTCCTTATCAACATCGTCGACCTGATGCGCAGGCTCCTGCTCAATATTGTAGGCGTAGTGAAGCATTCTCTCCACTGAGTTCATGTTGTTCTCGATCTCTGCGCTCTGACGGATCATGTTGCCAAAAACAGCCTGAGCCGTGACAATGTAGGACAAGACAACACCGCCAGACGAAGGATCAATGGTACCGCGAAGTCCAACAACCAGCAAACCTGCAGCCAAAACAAGAGTCGCGCCACAAAGGTCCAGACGGAGGTTCAGCCAGCGCTGACAAGAGACTGATAGCCAGTAAGCAGTGTTCTCCGTGTCAATCTTGCGCGCGTTATCGTCAACAAAACGAGGGATGGCGCCAAAGGCCTTGAGAGTGGGAAGACCCGAAAGAGACTCGCCGAAATGCTCGTAGATGCGACTTCGAAGCAGATTGTTGAGTCGGCGGAGTTCTCGTGATGATGGGCGGTAGTACATGCCCGTCCAAGTGTAGATGAGAAGCAAGGCGGCTGCGATAGCTAGGAAAGCTGGTACAATGATGCTGACGACAATGATTGTGCCCAGGACCTGGACAAAGGTTGAGATGAATAGGCGCAGAGTCTCACCCACCACGTTATCCACCGCATCAACATCTTTGCTGAATCGATGCGTGATACGGCCTTGAGGCGTAGTGTCGAAGAAAGAGACAGGCGCAAGAAGGACCTTGGACATGGACGCATGGTGAAGCTTGTTGGAGCACCAGAAGCAGAAGAGTGCAAATGTCGCGCTCATACAGAACAGACCAAGGGATTGGCCAGCTCCGAAAGCTGCGTATCCTCCCATGTATGCATCTTCAGATATGGTAGTATACTGGTTCTTCTGCCACCAGCTAAGCCAGAGTGGTGAGACGACGCTGGTTCCTTGGTAGATAGCAATAGAGAGAATGAGGAGAGGACCTGTGAGCCAGGCGTTGCCGAATTGTGCGTAGCGGATGTAGGTTCGGCCGCTGACTGAGCCGACGACTCTTTCTTCAGTCTGCATCAACTCCTTGCCGCGAGTCTGGGTTACCTGTTTGTCCTTGGTATCAGGCTTGGCCTTATCTGTCCGTGTCCCCGCCGTGGTGGATTCATCAGGCACAGCCTTCTCGGAATCACCACTACCGGCGGTTTCTGAATCTGAGTCTGAGTCCAAGACCAGAGATGAAGAACCTGCGAACTGAGAAAAGTCTCCATTCTGACTGTACAATTGCTCAAATGAGCCCTGCTCAGCAATGCGGCCCTTTTCCATGTATACAATGTGATCAGCTTGCCTAGCAAACGGAATCGAGTGTGTAACCAGAACGATAGTGCCTTCGTTATTGCGACGTGCTTGATTGACGACCATACCGAAAACACGAGCACTAACGTGAGCATCTAGGGCTGAGAAACAGTCATCAAGGAAGAGGAGTGGACTTCTGCCGTATATAGCTCTCGCAAGACTGATACGCTGCTTCTGACCACCAGAGAGCGAAACTCCATTCTCGCCGACGACTGTCATGTCACCATCCGGCAAAGCGTTCATGTCCTGATGGAGACAGCAGCGTGTGAGAACCTCGTCATACCACGCGAGGTCGAGAGGTCTACCAAAGACGATGTTCTCTCTCACCGTTTCGCTCAGAAGCCATGCGGTTTGTGGGGCTAGGGCAATCTGAGATGAAGCAGTCGTGAGGCTGAGCTGATAGGAACGCGCTTGGATGAGATGCATGTCGCCGAGAAGTGCCCTCAAGACCGAGGTTTTGCCTGATGCAACGGCTCCAACAATGCAGAAGAGCTGATTGCGCTTCACTAGTAACGAGTCTATCATAAGTCTCTGACTCTGACTAAGCGCTTTGCTCTCTGATTGTTCCTGGGCCACATCCTTCCCTTCTTCCGCTGCCAGTAGTTGCGAGTCATCGTGATATGCAAAAGTGGCATCCTCGACTTTTATCACGGCATCAGACGCTTCTTCCTCCTCACTAGAGTAGCCCAAACTAGTTTGAGGGCTAGATGAAGGCGCATCAGGGTCTACATCGGAAGCAAGCATAAACAACGCCAGTCGCTCCAGCGCAGCCCAAGCATCTGCAATAGCTGACAGAGCAGTAGGAAGAGCTTGAAGAGGTGTTCTCAACAGCATGAAATATGCAAGGCCAGAAAACACAACGCCTGCATCCATGCCATTTTTGCTAGTCGCTCCATAGCAAACAATGCTAACGACCGAAGCAAGAGTCGGCGCCGTGTAAGAGACCGCAGTGTTGAGGGCCCTGAGAAGCATCCTCTTGCGGATATACACTACCTCGTCAGACCTCAGCTTTCCGATCTTGGAGAGCAAACTCTCCTCGTAAGCGTTTGTTTTGACGAGGCGAATAGCAGCAACTGCTTCAACGACAGCCTTGACTCGGGCATCTGTGAACGGCATGCTGCCCCGTCGCAGTCGAAGTAGACGGCCCATCATGAAAGACTGGAGAGGGTACAGGAATGCAAGCAGGCCGAATCCCGGCAGAGCGCTGTATCCCATGGTCCAGACGGTCAAGGCGAAGCAGAGCAGCATCTGGAAGATACTTGTCCATGCGACATGGAAGTAGCCACAGCAGAAGTCAACTCGCGTCACATCAGCGCTGATGAGACTCATGAGTTTTCCAGTACCGAGACCATGTTTCAGCTTGGCCTTTTCGCTGAGCTGCGTGGTTGCTCTGCGATAAATGACGTGCATCAATGCACCACGGAGCAAGACACCGGTGGTGTAAGAGCGATAGAAGCCATGGACGTTGGAGGTGACAGAAAAGACAAGAAGAAGGAAAAGTCCAACGACGTAGCCAAAGCCTGAACGAAGACCTTGTTGCGATGAGTCGGATAAAGTAGCGATAAGGAATCTGATGAGTAGAGGCGATAAAATTTGTGACAAGTCTCCAGCCAACTTGAAGAGTCCGCCAAGCCAGAACCATTTGAAGCATACATCATTGAGAGCCAAGGTCAAGACAGTTGTATCAGTGGTATGTCTCGCCCAGAACGGTCTCCATGAGAACGGATTCGACGAAGTAACAGGCTTTCGTCCTTGATTCACAGCAAGTCTTGCAGCCCAAGCTTCTTCCAGGCGATTTGCATGATCTTCTGCCAACCTATCGCTGGGCATGTCATACAGATCCTCTGCTTGGAGAGGTCGTGTGTAACCCGTCCGCAAAAGACGTCCCAGCCAGTTGAAGGTCAAAATCGACAGCCAATTTGCCTGGAGCTCTGGCATAGGAAGCTTGTCTTCATTCTGATGCTCGACATTGCCTGGCGTAGAGACCTTTGGCGCTGTGAGTCTCTGCTGTATTGGCTTGGCTGATAGGAATGGCACTCTTCTGTACCACTTCCTTGGGGGGAAGGTCTTCCCGTCGTTGCTCGCCATGATGGTTGAGACCGAACTTGCTTCTCGAACGAGTCTCACTCGGCAAATGGCATGTCGATGGCTCTGTCACCAAGGTCCAGGTCGGCTAAGGCACAGCTTGCGCTTCATGCTTGTAGGTCCGTATTCGGAGGGATCTCCCAAAGCAGGATCCAAGGACTGTGGGCCCGTTCGGTAGGGTGTGCCGATCAGCAATAATTCCATTCAGGGTTACATCGCAGGTCATACGCGATGGGGAGTCTAAGTGGATGCGCCGTAAGTGTCTTTGCTTCCATCACCTTCCTCAAGCCGTTGATCTAGGTGGCTGCATAGGCTGCCTCTTCCAGTTTAGGAACCTGTTTAGTCTGTGCTTTCTCACAGTGAAATGCTTAACCGCTTTCCGATTACATAACGTGCCGCGGTGGATACAGAGCAAGGAAATTAAATAAGCTTACGGTCGGCTTCCTCATTCGAGTTTAACCCCGGCACTTATCCCACTTGAAAAGGGGAAAAGAAATGCCGATCTCCACACAGTTCGGGGGGCACTTCTGCGCCATTTGTCAAGAATTGACCTATCAGAGACGGCATGTGAAAGACGGCTCTGCGGTGAAACAAGCATAAAAGTTTTGGTGGCATATGACGTTGGTGGGTTTTTTGTTCTCGTTTAGGACGGTTTCTTTACCGAGGACCTCCGCTAAGTTTTCTGTACACCGGTGATTCTCATGATCATCTCTTGTAAAATCAGTGTGAATACTGGAATAAGATTACTTGAAAGGGCACAGGGTAGGAATCCTCCGAGGCCATGCCAGAATGTGTGTAATGATGCATGTGAGACACAGAAGCTTGGCTGAGCTACCCTGGATTAAATCATCTGGGGCACACATGTCGTGTCACAATAAACTGCCTCATCGGCCGCCGCTGGATGAGATTGTGAATGAAACGTAGAAGGCAGACTAGTAACTCTTTTGAGCATGATCATCGTATCAAGGCGACCAAACAGAATCAAGGTAATCAGTATTAAAACTCCTGGTCTGCTTCCATTTCTCTTGCGATAAGGCCTCTAGGCATTCGTAAATCCATCAATCACTCTTCATCAATCATTATCGTTATCTTTGTGAGTCCACTTGGTTATCTTGTCCTCGTCTTGGCTTCCTACTAACAAACACTTATAGACGTTGTCGCCCAGCATGACTACTGACCGCATCACTTCCGTTGCTCCCCCACGTAACCCGACGCCACCAAAAGAAGCTTGGGACACTTCTAAAGAGACCTCATTCAGACTCCCCGATGGCGAAACCAATATCTGGATTGCCAATACCGGCCATGGCGATGGAAACGACTACCTCGTTGGATCTGGCGATACGACATTGGCGCGATGGTCAATGGATGGTCGAGAAGCCAGAATATCGCCAGCAATGGTCAATGACAACAGAGCTCAATTCGCTCCTGTCTTTGAACTAGAGATATTGAACTCTGACGTTGCTGATCCTCGTTCTCCTTTCGCATCCCACGGTAGACAGCAAGACCTCGCGTTGACCTGGGCGTCTATCTACGCTCTGTGGCTGCACCCGGATCACAGAGATGATGATTTGATAGCCATCTCTGTTGACAGTCAAAGAATTGGCGAATACATCAAGTGCACTGGCTTGGGTGTGCTATCGCCATTCTCATCTACTACAACTCCCCGCGAGACTATCTACTGGCTCTCTCACGATGCATTCTGGCAAGGCGCTGGAGCGCCAGACTCACAGCACTGGCTTCAATCACGACCCGAAGTGACATCATTCCCAGGCTTCAACGGCACAATGGGTGTTTTCGCAAACCAATTGGGCTTCACGCGCAAGGGCAACGTCTGCACCGTTCACCCCGTTCGACCCCCCAAGCCCAAGCCTGGCACTGTCATCTACTCCCGCTTCATCGTCGAGCTTGGTCAGCAATTACAAATCCGACACATCGACGCGTCCAATCCCGTTCACTTCGAGACATACAAGCGATGGCAAAACTCCGACCGAGTCAACAAGGCATGGAAAGAGCGTGGGCCAGACGAGCATCATCGAGCATACCTTGCCAAGCAACTGGATGACCCCCATACCATGTCATGTGTGTTTGAGTGGGACGGAGAACTCGCAGGCTACACCGAGATTGGATGGGTCATGGAGGACAACGCAGCGTGCTTCTTTGGGTCCAACTGCAACATCACAGTGGGCGAGCACGATCAGAACTCACACATCATAGTGGGAGAAGAGCGGTTCCGCGGCGGCAAACGCTATCAGGCTGTCGCCACGTCGATCAAGCACTGCTGCTTCCTGCGCGATCCACGCACCAAGCAGGTGATAGCCGAGCCTGAGTACGATCTTAACCACGTTCAGATCCAGGACAGGTTTCTGCCGCAGGAGAGGAAGAAGCGCTTCCACCTGCCGCACAAGACGGCCATGCTATTCGCCCTGCAGCGTGAGCGATTTTTCCAGGAGGCGCATTTTGTCTAAAATGGGGGCGTACTCTAGTCCGGTTAGCATGGTAGATCGATAGACCGGACCCTGAAAAAAATTGAGACATTGTTGTTTGCAATTGTAATTTCCATGACGTAAATTCGTATAGACCGTGATGAGCAAGAATTATCTGATGCCGCTATTGCGCTTGTGGCCAAGATCATCGGAGAAATAACGTAAAACTTGTTAAAGTTGGTGTGGCTGCATTGAGTCACCGGGGCTAACCGAGCTTATTTTTGTTTGCACTGTAGGTAACCGTAATCTTATCAGATCATCAGCCCCCCACTGCGTTACGCTGACCGAGATGAATTATGGGTGTCAGCAGGGATCGGATGTTTCACCGAATATGGACACTGTAACTACCTACCATTCTTGGATCCATACGCCATGACACACTGTGCTGGAGCAAAGTTTCTAGCTTCATTGAGGTGGACATCGTCATCAGTGTGGTTGACTGCCGTGCTGACATTGCCGAGCGATAACGGCCGACGTAATTTGGTGGTTTGCGACAGAGACCCTGTGTCTGTCGATAATCTGGTAAACACCACGGCAAAGTATCACGAACTACCGTACAGCTGTTACGCGGTGTAAGACAAGGATACGATCAACACTATGGATAACGCAATGTCTATGACACGGCCTCCTGTTACGCAGCTTCGGCCACTGCATACTCACCAGAAATCGACGGAGACATCTCAGCCAATCAGCTGGACCAGCTCTGTCCAGCCAAAACTTGATGAAGAAATCGCAATCAAGGCATTTGTGAAGCTTGTGTCTCATCTTGTCGTTCTTGACGAAGATGAGAACTTTTGTATTCAAGATACTAAGCGAGGTGGTTTCATCTTGGCTCAGTATTGGAGTTCCGAGAGAAATGAGCTCGGTAGCTTCCGTTTCGTTAAACATGACAATCCTCAAGATATTCCGTCTGACTTCTCAATTGGTGAAGGCAAGGTGAGTTATAGGCCAGTTCATCAAGTCAGGGGTTCATCTGTATACTGATGCTCTGGATAGATCCTTCAACTTCACTTTGAAGAACACAAAGTTCAGCTCAAGACGGATGCCAGTATCATCCCCACTGCTGCTCTGAGATCTCTCGGCTGCATGCTAGACGACATCATTGTTAGGGTGCGCCAAGGGCATAACGCAAGTCTTGAATGGACTGAGCCGTCTGTCCTTAACTTTCCCCCACGATCTGAGCCCCTCCCCCTCACTCATGACAACGAGACTTTGACCGACGATGGTGCGAAGAGTTCACTTCTCCATCACCAGTTCGAGAGGCGCGCGTCTGAGACTCCTGAGAGAGTCGCTATCGACTACCTGACGGACCTCGAAAATGGACGCCGTGTGACCTTTACATATCGTCAGATTGCAAACGCAGCAACGGCATTGGCGGGCAAGATCGCAAAGACCTGCGTGGAATCGACACAGTCTCTCAAGACAGTCGCAGTGCACATCGGCCCATGCCCAGAACTCTACATCTCATATCTGGCAGCTCTGAAGGCGGGGGTAGCCTTCTGTCCCATTGCCGTGGACGCGCCTACGGAGAGAAAGCAGGCATTCATAGCAGACTTGAAGCCATCTACATTGCTTACAACAACCTCTTTACTAGAATCAGAGCCGCCCTCTTTCGTCGATTCCTCGACAGAGATTGTCAACGTCACCCCTTTCCTGCAGGCTTGCGATACTGAACCAGAGCAACAGCCGAAATCAGCATCAATGAGCGCGGACGACTTGGCTTACATTCTGTACACTTCAGGAACCACTGGACTGCCCAAAGGAGTGGCTGTCAGCCATCTCTCGGCCTCATGTACCATCTCTGCTCTGAGTGCCCACTATGGCTTTCCCCGACCAACTTCTACATCCAAGCCTGTCAGGTGGTTCCAAGGTGCTGCACCTACCTTTGACATCTCACTATTTGAGATATTTTGGACTCTTAGCACTGGATCAACGCTTTGCTGTGCGCCTCGAGAATTCACTCTTCAAAATATTGACAAGGTTGTTACTACCTTGAAGGCTGACATCACCAACATCACGCCTAGCTTCGCTAGCTTGTTAGAGCCCTCTTCAATCAGTGGACTAATGGTTGGTGGTGAGACCTTGAATGCTCGACTTCTCCAGAACTTTGCTCCCTACAATCCGACCGCGAAAGAGGAACCTGGCCAAGTACCGAGAGGCATTTACAACGGATACGGGCCTACTGAGACGGCTATCTACTGTATTGCGCAAGCTCATGTGCCTGAAGGCCAACGCGGATCCGTCATCGGAACACCGTTGGCAACCTGTGGTGTTCTTATTGTCCAAAACCAGTCAATTTCTCAATCTGGTAGGGGCTTCAAGCCTCTACCTATGGGTGCAGTGGGCGAACTTGTCATCACTGGACCTCAAGTGAGCAAGGTGGGCTACCTGAACCGGCCAGACGAAACAGCTGCGTCATTTCGAGATGACCCTAGATGGGGCCGTGTTTACAAGACTGGTGACAGAGCCAGAATCGTCTGGGACAAGAGTGGCTCTCCCATGGTCGAATTCCTAGGCAGACTCTCTGATGATCAAGTCAAGCTCAGTGGGCGGCGTGTTGAGCTGGGTGAGATTGAGAGTGTTCTGACCAGCAAGGTGCCTAGTATCAAAGAGACTCTATCCTGTGTCTGGAAGCATGGTGCAGACGCAGGTTCAGAAAAGGTCGTGAGTCTAGTTGTCGTTGATTCAAGTGAGAACTTTGAGGCTGTACACCGCCTATGTTTAGATGCGTCTCAGCACCATCTTCCCGACTACATGAGACCATTCAAGATCTTGCAAGTCGGTGGGCTTCCGAGATCTGCTTCTGGCAAGGCAGATCGTAAAGCAGCTTTGGCACTTGTCAACAAGATGTTAAAGACCGAGCTTGTCGATCAAGAGCCTTGCAACCGCGGTATGGTTGAGAACATTGAGGCTTTGTCAAACCCTCAGGATGCAGAGCTTGAGCATGAGCTCATCTCAATCGTGAGTAATGTTCTCAATGACTCACCTACTTCAGGTCCATCCATCACTGCAAAGACAGTCCTTGCCGAAGCGGGCATCGACAGTCTTCGTGCAATGAGGATCTTGCGAGACATCAGGAAGCGTTGGCCAGGACCCCAGGACCCTCGGCTTGAGCCGTCACTGGCACTTCTCCTCGACAACAGCGCCACCATCCGTTCTGTATTCTTCCCTAGCAGTCAAGGGACCGATGCATCAGCCACTAAAATTGATAGACAAGCCAGAACAATTGCTCAACTTGAGTCCTTCTCCACGAAGCATACATCGGAGGTCCTGGACAAACTCAACCTCAACAAGCACGACATTGAGATGGTTCTACCAGCAACTAGCACCCAGAGCCAACTAGCAGTGAGCTTTGCCATGGACAAGCGCAACTACATCAGCCATACCACACTGAGACTCAAGCCAGATGTCTCCGCGACAGCTCTCAGGGACGCCATTGAGACGACGATGTCGAGACAAGCCATCTATCGGACGGCACTGCTCCCCTGTGACGATGGCCTTTCCCCGTTCCTCCAAGTAGTTCTGACCTCAGACGCCTGGCAGAGATTAAGCGGCAACTCTGGTCGGATTACTCACAAGAAAACCAGTCCTGGCAGTATCTCTGGCGACGCGCAAACCTGGCTGGACCTCGCCGAGGAGGATCTCAGCCTTGAGTCGCACAGGCTGTATCATGTACAGATCATTGATTCTGAGGAGGGTGGTAGTGGTGGTCTTTTGATCATCAGCGCTGCTCACTGCATCTGCGACGGGCCTTCATTTGAAGTGCTCATGACAGACATCACTCGTCAATACTCTGGCCTTGAGCCACTTCCACGTCAAGGGATTTACGACGCCGTTTTCGAATGGGCATTGAATGTAAACCCAGAGACAGATCAGTTGTGGCAGAAGGCTCTGGAAGGATGGGAGACGGAGCCACTCGGAGCCATCAGCGGTAACAACGTCAAGCCGACTTCAACCAAGACTCGTCAACATGCCATGGTACAACATACCAGCTCACTCTCTTGGGAGCTTCTAGAGAGTAAGAGCAGGTCATTGGGAGGCTCTCCCCTCACGGTACTCCAAGCCTCTTGGGCCATGCTTCTACACATCCTCTCTGAGGCAGACACCAATGACGTGACTTTTGGCAGCGTTCTTTCAGGCCACGATCAATTTGTCCATGGCCCAACATTCTCTGTTGTGCCCTGTCGAGTTGCCTTACCTGAAGCGCAGACTCTCAAACAGGTCGTCGGCAGCTTGATGGAACATTCAAGATTCGCTCAAAGTCACAGACATACGTCCTTCGGCGTCTTCAAGACACTCCCATACAACACAGCCCTAGCCTTGCAAGCTTATCCTCAACCTGAGGGTGATGGGGCAGACAAGGCGCCTTTGCTTTGGACTGAGATCTCGAATCCTGCTATACGTTACGACTTTGCCATGTTCGCAGAGGTCTTCCCTACAAACCCGAACTCGCCTGACAGGAATGGCAGATTCGATGATGTCGTCTTCAAGTTGACGTATCGCGACGAGACATTCTCAGAGACTTCTGCGACATGCATCGTCAAGCAGTTTGCAGCACTCACTGAGACTATACTGATGTCAATGCCTGATGACCTGGTACAGAGTCTGCCTGCGCGCATTGACAGAAGCCTATTGTCTGCTGAGGGAACGATCCCTGTTGTGGAAGATGGTTTGGATGACACAGCCAACGAGATTGGCGACAGAGCTCAACTTCTGCATGCTCAGTTCGAGAATCAAGCTGCATCGACTCCCGATCTCCTGGCACTGAGCTTCTACTCTTCACTCGATTCCGCTCCTGTTGAGATGAGTTACGCAGAGCTTGATGCTAGAGCCAATGGTCTGGCGAACATCTTGCGCGAGCAAGACATTGACATCATTCCAATTTGCATGGAACGCAGTGTTGAGCTCTACGTATCTGTCTTGGCAATTCTCAAGGCTGGATCTGCATGGTGTCCCATTGACACAACGTCCCCAGTTCAACGTCGAACATCTCTTATTGCTCGAGCGCAGAGCAAGGTGCTGCTTACAACCACTGAGTCTTTGCCTCTCGTAGAGCCTTGCCTTGCTCAGGACGCACTGAAAGATGTACAAGTCATTCTGGTTGACAAGTATAATGGCCACAGTACATGGGTTCGAGCCAAGCCACGCAACGGTATCTCCAACATCACTGGACAGGATTTGGCATATCTTTTGTGGACTTCTGGAACGACGGGCGAGCCCAAGGGTGTCATGGTCCAGCACAGCGCTGCAGCCCAAGCGATGCGCGACCTGCAAGTTCTCGTTGAGCACGATGATAGTGAGCAGGTTCGCACCCTACAACTCTCCGCCTACAGCTTTGATGTCTTCGTACAAGACCTGTTCTACACCTGGGGCCTCGCGGGAAGTGTCATCAGTGGTACGCGAGAGCTGGTCTTGGGCACATTCACCGAGTTCATCTGGAAGTCTCGCCCAACTCATGCTCATCTGACACCTTCGTTTGGAGCCAGTATTGCTGTCCAGGAACTCAAGGGTTCAACTCTCCAGTACGTCACGTTCATCGGCGAAAAGCTGACAGAAGACGTCGCTGAGGCCTGGGCTCATCCCGATATTACGACTCGTGCATACAACACGTATGGCCCTGCCGAGAACGCCGTCGTCTCTACGATGCGACAGTTCTTTGGCAAGAGTCGAGACACGGCTAAAGCTGCCAATGTTGGCTTTCCTCTCGACCATTGCACCGCCTATGCTGTTCGTGAGGTTGCGAGATTACAAGGTACCAAACGTTGGGAGCTGGTTCCTCGGTACGGAGTCGGTGAACTTGCTCTGGGCGGTGCACAAGTCGGCAAAGGATATCTTGCAAACGAAGCCAAGACTACCAAGGCATTCATCCAGGGCGGTCCGGGCATTGACGAGCGTATCTATCTCACTGGAGATCTCGTGCGATTGAATGACCATGGTTTTGAGTTTCTCGGTCGAAATGACGATCTCGTCAAGATTACCGGTATTCGTATTGAGCTCAGTGAGATCAGCGCAGCGTGTGCAAGTCTGAAGGACGACGACGCTGCAGTTGAGCATGTCGAGACATTGTATCTTCAGCGTCCAGGCGCACCCGCTGGGAATAACAACAAAGTGGTTGTCACCTTTGTCTCTGTCAAGACTGGCAACGTCGACACTTCCAAGATCAGATCTCAGGTGTTCAAGCGAGCCAAGGACCTCTTGCCTGCGTATATGGTGCCTGGACACGTTGTTGTTCTCGATACGACCATGCCGAGGACCGCCTCAAACAAGGTTGATCGCAAGGCGTTGCAGGCTATCTACGCGGAGTCGGATCTCAACGTGTTGGCTGGGAGAGACGACTCGACACAAGCGCAAGGGCCGAGTCATCAGGCCAAGCAGCAATGGACGGCGCATCAGCTACCCATTCTCCAGGCAATCGCAGGACACTTTAATATCACAACTGAAAACCTCTCTCCGGATGACAGTTTGGCAGGTCTCGGCCTCAGCTCGTTACAAGTTACGAAGCTTGCTTGGTTGCTGAGGCGAGAGCTCAAGTGTCAAGTTGGAGTTCTGGACCTCATGAGATGTGAGTCTTTAGGAGAACTGGTCAATATCACGCTCAGCCGAATGCCAAAAGAGGCTAAAGTAGACCAGTCCGCCCAAGCAGTCGAGACAGAAACGGCGTGGTTGGCGTCTATCAAGAAGGCGCTTACTGATAACATCAAGGGCAACATGCGTCCCTCTGATACGCAGTACGTCCTACCCGCAACACCCATGCAAGAGTCCCTCATCGTCGAGACTATGCTCGAGCCACAAGCCTACTGGGCCCATCGTGTGTTTGATCTCAGCCATTTGGACGACATCGATGATCGCCAGTTGAAGAGAGCTTGGACTGCCGCAGCCAAGCGCTTCGACATTCTCCGAACTATCTTTGTGCCCTTGACTCAACTCGATGTAGATGGCAGCGACAACACTGTTTCATGGGCTCGCAAGAAGGGTGTTCACTCAACGATCCTCCAGGTGATTCGCGAGAAACCAAGCTTGCACTGGTCTCAGGTCCGCTCTGAGGAGGTTCAGAGTCTCAGTAAACTGGCCAAGAAGTTGCAGCTGGAGCTGTCTCCAACGACTACCATAGAGACGCCGTGGGCTGTCACTTTTGTCGAAGACACCAAGAAGATGATGCTCAGTATGCATCACGCTCTCTACGACGCCGTAGCTTCCGATGTCTTCCTGGAAACTGTCACGAGCCTGTATCATATGGAGTCGGTTGGGGAGGTAAGTGAAGTTGTGCAGTTTGAGAAAGGTCTCAGTCTAGGGCTGTTACCTACTCCATCCAAGAGGGATGAAGCAGCTGCGCTATGGAGTCGCCGACTGGATGAGATAAGTAAAACGGCCAGTGGGGGCACTTTGAACGCACCTTTCCCTGACCTCACCCAATCTCGACAGAAACAGGTCCAGAAGATTCTCATGTCAAGGAAAGTTATCCCTTCTCCATTTGTTCAATCTACTTTTACAGTTGCACTTCCAACACTACTCCAATCCGCCTTTGGTTGTGTTCTCGCCTCATACCTCGAACTCGACGCCGTTGTGCTTGGCCACACCATCTCGCAGAGAGTCCTCCACCCGGATCTCGCACGACTTGTCGGTCCCGCTATAGCTACATTGCCTCTCATTGTTCGCTCTAATGCTGCGTCGTCCGAGGAACTCTGGAAGGAGATGGCCTTCGAGTCAGCGCAGATGTTCCAGAGCACACACAACCTTCACCCAGTTGATGTCAAAAGGATGCTCAATCGAGGAAGTGGTAGCAGCAACGCTCCATTCCCTGGTCTTTTCGTGTACCATCCCGCCTCAGATGACAACCAAGCCGAAGCTAGTCAGTCCATGTTCAAGGAGGTGGGACAGGCATTGTCGCTCAACGTTGAGCATCCACTTGCGTTGAACATCTTCGAGGCGAATCGAGCGATCGAGCTCACTGGAGATGGACGTCGTATTTCTCAGGCTCAGTTGGACCTCTTGTTGGACCAGATCCTTGCCCAAGCACAGGTTATGGCCGAGGCCCCGAGCGCTCCTTTGACTCAGCTCCAGAACGGAATGAGCAAGAGTCTTCTGTCTATCAGTGGTAAAACTTTCAGCGAAGAGACTGAAGCTGTCAATCCTACTAAATACGTTTCCTTTCGCGCATCAGAGCATCCAGACTGGATCGCCGTTGAGGAAGTCATGTTTGAATCCTCAGATGACGATGAGGAGATTGCTTCCAAGACCATTACCTATGCCCAGCTCGACAAGCTCACCAACGCCATCGCTACGAGATTAATCCAGCATGAGGCTCGTCTACAGCCTGATGACCCTGTAGCTATGTGCCTTGGTAGAGATATCAAGTCCCTGGCAGTCACTCTCGCCATTTTCCGTGCTGGATTTGTGTATCTTCCTGTTGATGAAGATCTTCCACCGGCTCGCAAACAGCTCCTCATTAGAGATGCGGGTGCCAAGCTTGTGATTACAACCGACGAGCTTGTCGGTGACTTGGGACTAGACAGTGCAAATGACCCACCGCTGTTGCTACTCCCCGACACGAATGCTGACATGGACACCATTTTGTCTTGGCCTGTTTCTGAGATCCCTTCAGCGACCGGCATTGGCGGTTATCTCCTCTACACCTCTGGCTCGACTGGCCGCCCCAAGGGTGTACGAGTTTCCAACGGTAACCTCTGCCACTTCATCTCTGCATTCAGCAACCGGTTAATTGAACACTCGCCTGCAACTGCGAGACTTGGTGGTGTTGGGAAGTACCTCAACCTTACTTCCCGCGCCTTCGATCCTCACCTGACACAGCTTTTCGTGCCCTGGCATCTTGGACATCGGGTTGTTATCGGAAGAGACCGCACGGCCATGATGGCGAACTTGAAGGAGCTGATCAATGAGCTGAATGTTACGCACTTCGGATCTGTTCCCTCGGTTCTCAGCCAATTAAGGCTACGACCTGAAGATGTTCCATCAGTGAGGGTAGTGACTACTGGTGGAGAGAAGGCCTCAAACGAGCTTTTGAACATGTGGGCCAAGACGCAAGACTCAGACACGGCAGACGATCGAGCCGTTCTCTTCAACTTCTACGGTCCTACAGAAGTCACTATCGGATGTTTAGGACATGCTGTACATCAAGATTCCAACGCCCGCAACCTTGGACTCCCACTAAAAGGTCTCGAGGCTCTACTTCTATGTCCCATCAGCGATGGAGACAGTCTTGTCATTGCTAGGAGAAGCCAGCCAGGTGAGCTCTGCATCGCTGGTCCTCAGGTAGCAATGGGCTATCTCAACCGCCCCGTCGATCAAGCCAAGAGCTTCCAGACTATTACTCTTCCCGGCGGCAGCAGCAAGAGAGTCTATCGAACTGGAGACATGATGAGGATGATGCACGACGGATCACTTGAGTTCCTTGGTAGAGCTGATCAGCAAACCAAGATTCGCGGACAGCGGCTTGAGCTGGATGAGGTCGTTGCCTTCCTGAAGCAAGTTGCAAGTGACAAGGGCGACTTTGACTTTGCAGCTACGGTTGCTTCCACTGGGGAAGATATTTCGAATCAACAACAACAGCTGCTAGGTTTCATCGCTAGGAAGGCCAGTAATCTCAAGGGCCAGGCTGAACAGGAGGTCGAGCTACTTGATGTCCAAGGCGAGGAGTCAACTTTACTACTAGGCATGATCGAGCAAGAATGCCAAGACAAACTCCCTGCTTTCATGGTACCAACACTGGTCTGGGTTTCCAAGATCCCATACCTCGCCGCCTCTGGCAAGGTCGACACCAAGATCCTGGCACGTTTGGCAAAGGATTTCATAGCCACTCGGCAAGATCAGGACAGAGATGGAGGCAACTCGGGCGATTTGCTTCGATCTGGGGCAAACTTGAGTGCGAAGGAGTCGATGGTGGTTGCGGCTATTGAAGAAGCCGTCGGTGGCAGTGTTGAGGCATGGAGTACCAGCAGCATTCAGCGCCTTGGTATCGACAGTCTTTCGGCAGTGAACTTGGTCTCTCTTCTGAGGAAACGTGGCTTTTCTCAATTGAAGATGACGCATCTCCTGTCTTCGTCGTGTACAGTTGCAGATATTGCAAGACTTGCTGATGAACAAGAGAGCGGTAGCCCGTCGAACAGCACGCCTCTGTCGACACCTCCATCCATAGACGATCTACACATCCCGACTCTCAACGTGTCAGACCTTGGTCCTCTTCCAGAGGGGCTTGATTCCTCCAATATCGAAGCTGTCCTTCCTTGTCTCCCTCTCCAGTCTGCTCTCATCGCGTGTTCTCTTGTTTGGCTCAGTGCCTTCAACCTAAGAGAGAACACCGAGGCATATGATGTTCCATATGTCGCACGGTTCAGCTACCGTCTCAGTCGTGGTACAGACATCAACAGATGGAAGAAGACAGCAGAAGAAGTCATCGCCTCGGAAGCGATGCTCCGAACTTGCTTCATTCAGCGTGAAGATGACGGCCAAATCTTCCAGGTCGTTCTTCGGTCACTGCCATCCTCTCCTTTGAATGCTCATGAGCACCCAGCAGATATTGTGTCACAGATGAATGGACGACCTCCAATCCGACTACAGCTTTCCGGCGATGATGGAGACGAGACCATCGTGTCACTCAGCATCCACCACGCATTATTCGACGGTGTTGCTATCGACTCCCTCAAGAACAAACTTGAAGCGGCATACAACAGCCAGACGTCTTCAATTGCTGCGGTTAATAGCTTAGCCACCTTATCCACGATCTCGAATCACTGTAACTTATCGAATGAGCAACTCGATGCTACAAGACGGTCGTGGCAACAACAACTACAGGGCGTTCAACCATGTCGCGTTGGAGCCATTGATGACAACAGTACGAGTGGTGTCATGGCTCGCCAGACTATTTGTCTTGGGTACACGACTTCTGAGCTCAACGCTAGACTCAAATCTCACTCCCTGGGGCCTGAAGGAACGATATCGGCATCTTCCGCATTCCAACTGGCTGTCACTATGTGCCTCGCCCAACTCACCAAGCAGCCATCCGTTGTCTATGGCTTTATCATGTCACTTCGGCCATTACTAGATGGCGTTGCCAACGATGTTGACAGCTTTGTTGGTCCATGCCTGAACACCCTCATTCGAGCCGCCACCATCAATAGCCTCGACGAGACCCTACCCCAACTGGCTCAACGAGTCCACGATTCTCACCTTGATGTCTGCCAAGGTTCCATGCCACTCGTCAGCGTCGACAAGGTCCAGCGCTGGTCTGGATCGGAGGACAAGCTGTTCGACAGTCTCTTGAGCATCAACATCGTGCCTGTCAACGAACTCAGTGACGCCAAACCAGGACAGATGACCGCTTTGCCTACTCGTAGTAGTAGCGATATGGCTTTGGCGTTTGACGTGGATCTTCACGCTGATGGAAAGATCAATTTGACACTTTCTTCTGCTGGAGCATTGAACGTAGAGCAGCTCAAGGATATTGGCCGACTGTTTGAGAAGGTTGTGTACAGCTGCGCTGACAAGACCGTCAAAGTGTCGGATATTGTTACTTCACCTCTCACTACAAAGGCCCTCTCGACCAAGGTCCTCGATGGCCCCCGAGGCAACGAGACCTCGATAGATGCTCCAGTTTATAATCAGGCACTCTCTGACGTACAAGCTACCCTCAGTCGCTTCGTTCATATCAATCCATCTGAACTGTCATCCAAGCCCGACTCGACGTCGCTGTACCAGCTCGGTCTTGACTCCATCACCGTTCTCCCATTTGTCAAGTCAATCAACAAGTCGCACAAGACTAAGCTGTCTTCTCACGCTGTGATCAAGGCACGAACTATCAAGGGCGTTGCGCAGCTTCTTCAAGATGCCAAGTCGAAGTCTGCTTCAGTTGACACCGTCAATTCGCAATCTAACGGTGAGCATACCGGCAGCAAGTTGAGTGACACCGAGCTCTATGACAGAAACCTTGAGCGTCTAGCCAAGAGTCTCATGTTCATCGCAACGCCACTCCAAGAAGGCATGCTCAGCGCATCTCTAGCCACTGACGGCGATGCATACACGTATGTTCATGCCATTCAGCTTTCTGGCTATGCTCTTGCACACGATACACCCACTCTTGATAAGTTTTTCGCTGCCGTGAAAGACACTGTTCAAGCGTGTGAAATTCTCAGAACCCGGTTCATCTTCACTGATGATGATGAGTCACCGTGGGTCGGTATCGTTTCCCCCACTGAGCAAAGCGATCGGGTCAGCTGGGAGATTCAGCCAACGATGCCTGGTCGAGTGCATTTGCGGATCCATCATGCTCTCTATGATGCAACATCTATCCAGTCTGTTTGGAGTATTCTCCAAGAATACTACCGTCGGCGCCTCAACAATGACCTCTCTGATGGCGTCGACGAGCCCAAGCATCTGTACAGACCGTTTGCAAGGACTGTCGCCTGTTCTCAGCGGGCTTCCATTGCCTACTGGGCAGATGCTGTTCGGGATTACACGTATACTCCCCTTGAATTCCTCACTGATGATCTCAAGGCATCATCTGCTGTCCATTTCAGCTTTGACACGAGTGAATTGTCGCTCCTCCAGTCGAAATGCCAGGATCTCGGCGTGACCATCAAAGCAGCACTTCAGTTGTCATGGATTAAGGTCCTGTGCGAGTCGCTCTACAGAAAAGCTGACGTCGTGTATGGAGAAGTTGTTTCAACGGATGCCGATGATGATGTTGCCATCGTTGGCCCCGCTATCAATACACTGCCCATGAGAGCGAAGTTGGGTAGCCCTAGCAGTTGCGTCAACATCTCAGAAGCCTTGATCCTTGTGCAGAAGCAGATCGACAGCGCGAGAGGCACCAACTCAATGGCTTCACTAAGGAAGATACAGACGCTATAGAGATCAGGACATAAGGGAGGAGATGCACCAGCAGCCCTCTTCCAGAGTCTCTTCGTGTTTGACGGAGTTCTTGGCTCTTCAAACACGAGCGATGACTCAGAGAAGCTATTCAAGTCCGTGCAGGCTGGAACTGCTGATGCGACTGGACCGGCCTATGATGATTACCCTCTAATCGTGAGCTTCCATATTAGGGACAACATCCTCAATGGCAAGCTAAGGGCCAAGTTACCCCAAGAGCAGGTTGGCTCATTAGGTCAGAGCCTGGAAGCAGCCTTGAACCACGTTCTTCATGGACTCGATGTACCTGGAGTTGACACTAAATATCTTGAACCAGTTAACAACACGCCACCTCATGAGTCCAAGATCGATGCGACGGAACCCGATATGAATGGCTCGACCCCAGCAGCTGATGCAGTATTGAAGCTTGTGGAGACAGTTGTGGGAACAAGACGAGGTGGAAAGAAGATCGGTTACAGCACGAGACTTATTAACGTTGGTCTGGACTCAATTTTGGCCATTCGGCTATCGAAGCTTTTGAGGCAGCAACTTGGACTCAGCGTCAGCGTTTTTGACATCATGAAGGGTGCTAGCGTTCGCGACATCATCAAGCGCCCAACGTCTTCGCGCAAACCAACAGCAAATGGCACCCAGCATCAATCGGAGCCACTTCGACAAGGTTTGAAGTCGGCAATAGCCAAGACCCTAGGACAGCCAGACCGTTTGATCAAGGCTATCATTCCGGTATTGCCTGGTCAGCGTTCACATCTCGAGCTTTGGCTGCATAACGGCAAGAGATTCTTCGAAGCGCCATGGGTTTACAGACTGCCCGAGACTTTCGAACAGGAACAACTCGTGGCCTGCTGGTCTGACCTTGTCAAAGCACACGATGTCCTTCGAACCACCTTTGCAACGGGATCAACCCCTGCCGAACTGTACCAAGTCACCCTATCAGAAGAGTGGTCAGGCCGATCACGCTTCAAAGCCCTTCAAAACTCGTCGAAGACTGTTGCGGAGTTGATCGCGGAGCATGTGAGCCAAGAAAGCAACAAGGCATCTGATATGAAGGAACCTCCCGTCCGCCTCTCCTTCTTGGAAGCTTCAGACGGCAAGGCGGTTGTCTTGAGACTCCATCATGCTCTTTACGACGCGTGGAGTATCAAGATGATTGAACAGGACCTCAACGATCTTCTCACAGCGGGCAAGATCCAAGAAACTCGTCGGTCACTGGAGCAAACAGTTCAGAGCATCAGAGCAATCAGACAGCCAGAAGCCGAGGAAGCATACTGGACGCGTCATCTTTCCGGTGCTCAAGAAACAGTATTGGGCCACAACGCTGAACGTACTGTTGTTTCAGCGCACGGCCCTCAGTTCAAGACGAGCTCCAACATCTTCCCTCAGAATAACGTCAAGTCGCTGTTGCAGAAGAGTAGCTCGGAGGTCTCTGCAGCTCTCATCCTCTCCTACGCAAGGACGCTACAGCACTTCACCCACCGAGCAAATCCTACTTTTGGTCTCAACCATGCTTCTCGATCTCTTTCGTCACCTGATGGGACGCAAACCCTCGACCTGACTGCTGCGAGTATCCCGACTCTTTCTGTGACGCCATTCTCTATTAAATTGGAGTCGTCGACTGAGGATCTACTCGGCTTCATCCAGGACCATCTCGCGCAACTCAATTGCTTCAGCCAAGCAGATGGTGTTCGAGAGCTGGGGCCCAATTTCAATTCGCACTTGAACATTATCTACCGACGAGACCTTGTAGCATCTCAGAACGGGAGCTCTACGGATAAGCCAAAGGCCTTAGAGAGGTACAGGCTCCCTGAGCCACTCGCGTCCAACTACTTCACCACTACGGAGCCGTCATCTATAGTCTCTACCATTGAGGGGCTTGATGTCGCTCATTTGCCTGCTCAGCATTTCTTTTTCAACGTTATTGTTAACGAAAGTGGCGATATTACAGTGTCTGCAACTGGCGATAAAGCATTGTTTGACGCATGCAGCGTTGAGGCTGCTTATTTGGTAGATCATTTTCTTGCTGAGCTTTCCACAGTCCAAGCGCGCGAGGGTTGATTAAAGATATAATCTCTATGTACATATGTAATTTCGCTGTAATTTCTTATTTTTATTTCTGTTAGTATCTAGATTAATGCACATCAGAGCACCGTCATTCCAATCAATTCTTGTCAACATACCCTGTACTAACGCGTCCTCAACGCGTCAACGCGCTCACGCTCACCAGAAGAAGCTGACATAATGGTAGCCGACAGTCTAATTGGCCATGCTCCTAACGCTAACCCCTCAGCCGGTTATTCACGGTAAATTTCCCCACACTCACCATACACGAATTCAGTAGTCGGAGGCTCACGTTCCGCGTCGATCATCGTATTCATCCCCAGGCGCGATCCGAATACCGCATCCATTGCACTTAAGCTTTGAAGTCTCATGATCATACCCCAGACATGATCTGGTCGGTTGTGGGGTGTCAAGGATGTTGTTATTAGCCTGTAATTGAAGGGTCACTTGGCATCTAGAATTCATGGCAGTTCAGCTAGCCTCGGCTCTTATGGCGCCTAGTCGAGGCCATTATCCAGGAAATTGCCATTTACTGACAGATAATAACGAGACTATTGCTTTTCAGTTGGCAAAGTTGTTCTTCTATTATACCGATAGACCAGTTCATAATAAAAGTTTGGTTATCTCGTTTGAAACCTGGCTTACATTTAAGCATATATTTTCAGTCTTGCATTCCTTTGCTAAGCCATGGCAGACATCAAACATAGTCTATTTCTTTTAATTTACCGTACTCATGCAAGGAACAAACAAATAACATATGCTTGCACGAAAACACGTTTACAGTCTGCTGATTTGGCTATGCCGAGCCGGCTAATGACCCTAGACCTGCTTTTAGCCATCTAGGATAAGAGAGAGTGCCGAGATGTGAAACAACCAAGACATCGATTTAGCCGGGAAACATTAGGTAATTGACATCATGAACAGATTTAATATATAACATTAGATGAAGCGCTGGATCTAGGGAACTTCTACTCATCGCAGATAAGTCCAAGTCTCGTTCTTGACCTACCTTCACCAGCTGCAAAGATGCGTTTCAGTCTCATCCCCACAGTGGCCTTGGCTGCTTTCAATGGCTTTGCCGTTGCCAACCCCGTTCCGTAAGTCATATGCTTTAAGAATAGTGATAGCCTCGCTCACATACAACCAGTGATGTTGAGGCACGACAGGCCACTGGCCTCCAGGCTGCCATGAAGGCCGCTGGCAAGCAGTACTTCGGCACTGCTCTCACCGTGCGCAATGACCAGGGAGAGATCAACATCATCAACAACAAAAATGAGATTGGTTCCATCACCCCCGAGAACGCCATGAAGTGGGAGGCCATTCAGCCAAACCGCGGCCAGTTCAACTGGGGTCCTGCTGACCAGCACGCTGCCGCCGCCACCTCACGAGGTTACGAGCTGCGCTGCCATACTCTTGTTTGGCACAGCCAGCTCCCATCGTGGGTTGCGAACGGCAACTGGAATAACCAGACTCTGCAGGCTGTGATGAGAGATCACATCAACGCCGTCATGGGCCGTTACCGTGGAAAGTGCACTCACTGGGATGTTGTCAACGAGGGTAAGTTTGACTTTCATGATGAGGCTCTGGAGACAATATTCGATGACTAACCAATCCTTCAGCTCTCAACGAGGATGGAACTTACCGTGACAGCGTCTTCCTCCGTGTCATTGGCGAGGCCTACATCCCCATTGCCTTCCGCATGGCCCTGGCAGCAGACCCCACCACCAAGCTCTACTACAACGACTACAACCTCGAGTACGGCAACGCCAAGACCGAGGGTGCCAAGCGCATCGCTAGACTCGTCAAGTCCTACGGTCTTCGCATCGACGGAATCGGTCTGCAGGCTCACATGACCAGCGAGAGCACTCCTACCCAAAACACCCCTACTCCCTCGCGAGCCAAGCTGGCTTCCGTCCTCCAGGGCCTCGCTGACCTGGGCGTCGACGTCGCTTACACTGAGCTGGACATTCGCATGAACACTCCCGCTACCCAGCAGAAGCTCCAGACCAATGCTGATGCCTATGCCAGAATCGTTGGCTCTTGCATGGATGTTAAGCGATGCGTTGGTATCACCGTCTGGGTATGTTCTCGCTTCACATGCTTGATTTATTCCTTACTAATCACTCGCAGGGTATCTCTGATAAGTATTCTTGGGTTCCCGGAACTTTCCCCGGCGAGGGATCTGCTCTCCTTTGGAACGACAACTTCCAGAAGAAGCCCTCTTATACTTCTACCTTGAACACTATTAACCGCCGCTAAGGTTCAGTGGGATTACAGCAGCTAGATACCGTACATAGGCCCTTTATATCAGACTGCTATTTCTACAATGTCCCTGGCCAATTTAACTTAACTACAGTCTTGTCCCAAAAGAGAACTTATTTCCGATTCTTCTTACCCTTGTTGGTTTATTGGGCTCTTGCGGGAAGTGGAGACCTCTCCAAGTCTTAAGTTCTAAGCCTTTCCATATCCTGTTTATTATGCATGTTGGTCCTACCTTGCATACCCACTCACACCAAAACCCCCCCAGCCTCTAATAGCGAGCCACGTATTTGTAAATGCACACATCGGCTGTTGAGTTCGTAAGATCAGTCTTTGGAGAGGGAACCCTTGTCTAGTCATAAATGATAAGAGAATCTCAGAATATGATGTTGACAACGTTAAAACGCGCTAGACATGCAATGGGGAAGCGCGGATTACATTGCTTTCCATGAGTTCCGATTGCAGTTCAATAAAAACTCACCAAGATCGGTTAGCTGGATGATCTGCTGTTCTCATTCTCATGCTATCGCCAGTAAAAGCATTGCTTCATTGTAGCCACTATGCTTAGTGTCTCGATTCTAGCTGGAGGTGTCGCTGCTGTATGTCTCAGACACCACGGCTTTCCTCTAGGTTCTAAGCTAATTATCGCCTAGACGACAGTACTCTGTATTGGATACGTGGTGTATAACATCTTCCTGCACCCGCTGCGTAACTTCCCTGGTCCGTTTCTCTGTCGGGCTTCCCCGTTGTATCGCCACTACAAGTTCTTGCGCGGAGATCTTTTGTTCGAGACTGAACGTCTTCACAAGAAATATGGCCATGTTGTGCGCATCCGGCCCAACGAGCTGTCTTTCATTGATCCGGAAGCATGGAAAGACATATATGTCGCTCATGGAGGCTCAGCGCGGCTTGGTGATATGGCCAGATATGACAGATTCTACCAGTGGGCTGGTCCAAGCGCACCAGAGACTTTTGTCTCGCTAGATAGGCCGTATCATGATTCTATGAAGCGGCAGCTCTTGCCGGCCTTTTCAGATCGTTCGTTGCAGTTCCAGGAACCCATTATCCAAGGATATACGGATACACTTATCCGCAAATTGACAGAGGCTTCAAAGGATGGAAACCCTGTCAATCTGCGCGAGTGGTTTAACCATTACACTTTCGATATCATCGGAAATCTCGGATTTGGATCTGATTTTGGGGGCCTTGAATCTGAGCAATACCATCCTTGGGTCAAAGCTGTGAGTCAGAATGTTAGAGAGTTTGCCATCATGCAGGTACTGATGTACCTGGGACTTCAACGAATTGTCCATGTCTTGTCGGGCAGTTCCCTTCTGAGGGGCAAGATCCTGCACGAGCACCTCACGAGGGAAAAGGTCGAGGCTCGCATCAAGGTGGAAAAGCCAAGACTCGATATCTTCCAACCCCTCCTTGACCGAAAGCCACCTCTGGTATGTCTTTTGCATCTTCGTTTTCGTTTTCCGATTCATGTACTGACCCGAATGCTATTGAAGACATTCGCTCAGCTTATGGAGAATGCTACGATATTGATCACAGCAGGCTCCGAGAGCTCTGTGACACTGTTAGTAGCCGCAGTCTCTCTGCTGACTGACAATCCAGCCAAACTGCAAAAGCTGGCCGAGGAAGTTCGGTTAACCTTCAAGAACGAGGAGGATATCACAATAGTATCTGTCAACCAATTGCCCTACCTCGCTGCCTGCTTGAACGAGGCCCTGCGGTGTTTTCCTGCAGTCCCACCTGCGTTACCAAGAGTCGTCCCCCATGGAGGTGCGGTTATAGCTGGCCATGCTGTACCAGAGAATGTGAGTTGACAATATCTTGTCTCTGCTTCTTGTCTATAAAAGCTGACTGAATCAGACTGTTGTCGCTGTTGCTTCGTGGGCCACAAACCACTCTGGGAAACACTTTAAAAAGGCTCTTGAATATCATCCCGAGCGTTTTCTGAAGGATCCAGAATTCTCAGACGACCGCCTTGATGCGTTCCAGCCCTTCGGCTTGGGTCACGGAAATTGCCCTGGGCGCAAGTGAGTGTCTACATCTCGTCTTATCATCCGATCGTTGAGCTGATTGTTTTATAGTCTCGCCTGGGCTGAAACACGCCTGGCATTGGCGCGGCTCGTGTACAATTTTGACATTGAGTCAGTGCCTGAAAGTGTTGGCTGGACCACCAAACAGAAAGCGTACATGCTGTGGGACAAGCAGCCGTTTTGGGCGGTACTCAAACCTATTCGGTAAGCCAGGTTGTCAATAGAGATCTATTATCGCATATAAAACCGTAACCGTCAAGCGAAGCAAATCTTGACTGAATTTTGTGATTCTCTCCTTATCCCTAAGATTGCCATTTATATGTTACCTGGGGAATTGGTGATAATTAAAAATGACTTCCGTAATTATCTTATCTTGGGGTCTCACAAGAGGCATTTGACATGTCACGTTTTCACCCCTGCAGATTCGGTCAACCTCGGTAAGAACATGTGATATTTAATGCAAACTTCAGTAAACTAAGTCAGTTACGCTAGCCGCCCAATGTCATTATATGTCGTGAAATTAAATAAAAGTCAAACGAAAGCTCCTCCACCATGGTTTCTCAGTCCTGTGTATTGGATTAAATGTCTGCAAAGATTTGTCTGCCTCCAATTGGGACATAATGAGTCCACAAAGAAGGCCATAGCCACAGGATAAGAACAGCAGTCAGGAGGAGTCCACAGATGATGATC